GCTTTGTTGCCCAGGCTGGAGTGTAGTGGTACAATCTCAGCTCACTGCAACCTCTGCCTCCTGGGTTCAAGTGATTCTCGTGCCTCAGCCTCCCAAGTAGATGGGATTACAGGCACCTGTCACTATGCCCAGCTTACTTTTGTATTTTTTAGTAGAGATGGGGTTTCACCATGTTGGCTAGGCTGGTCTCAAAATCCTGATCTCAGGTGATCTGCCCTACTTGGCCTCCCAAAGCGCTGGGATTACAGGCATGAGCCACCACGCCCAGCCTAAAGATTTTACAATGAGAGTGTCTCACTTTAATTGCCAGTAGTTTAAAGTGATAGCTTTTTAATTTCTCTGCCTTCCATTTAGTTAACAATCTCTTGCTAGAACTAGATATTTTTTTTCTTTGACAGTTCAGATTAAATGCAAAGAGACCACCAAGAAGATTGCCATCTATAGAAATTGATTAGCTATCCAACTAATCCTCTGCTATAATTATATTCAGAGGACGCATTAGACATACATTACCAGGTAAAAGAAAAGATTGTCAAGAAGTTTGAGTGCAACCTCCTGGTGATGTGTGCCAATCACATTATCCCATGCCAGGTGGCTGTGCATATATATATGCTATATCTATAGTCCCAGTATGACAAAGTGCTCTGCAATATAAAAAAAAGTATTCTCCAGTTTATGGCTTATGACATGCTAATAGAGTCTGGTTCCTCTAGATGTCAGGAAATGAAAGCCAAAGAGCAGCCACTTAGTTTGAGGAAACAGACTTGTTTTCTAGTGACCAGTGTTAAAACCATGAGGTAGGCACCCTATTGTCGTAGTAAGCGTGAATGGAATTCACCCCAACTCCTCCAACATGCTGCTGCCCACCTGGCAGAGGACGATAATGTGATTGGCACACACCACCAGGAGGTTGCACTCAACTTCTTGACCAGTGGTCCCCCAACCATTTTGGCACCAGGAACGGGTGGAAAACAATTTCTCCACAGATGAGGGGAATGGTTTCAGGATGACACTGTTCCACCTCAGATCATCAGGCATTAGATTTTCATACAAGCTGGATCCCTCACATGTGCAGTTTGCAATAGGGTTCTCACAGCT